TTGTCTGAACTTTGAGCTTTGGTGCAGGGAACATGGCTAGTGCTTCCGCTGAAGCGACCCAAGACAGCGCTCAGACGCCTGTCCCGGCTGAAGATGACGATGATCTGCAGGAGGTAAACCCCGACCCCTGGGCTGCTTACACCGCGGGCCAGGCTACAGAGGCGCCACCTCCCGGATTTAGCCCGGCCAGGAGGACTCGTACCGGAACTACGGTGGATGACGTGGCGGCCTTCGAGGAGTTCCTACGACGAAGGAGGCAAGCTCAGCGTCCCGCAACCCGACGCCCCCGAGAAGAGGAAGATGATGGAGACGATGATCAAGGCGGAGGCGCGGGGAGGACCAACGCCGGACCACCGCCACAGTGGGATGGTACCACGTCGTTCCGCGACTACGAGGTCAGAGCAAGGTTATGGTTGGCGACCACCAAGGTCAAGGCACGGGCCAGGGGCCCAATGCTCCTCAAGAGCCTCACCGGCACGCCGTTCGACGACCTGAAGCACCTCGCCAAGGACGACGAATGGATGCAGAGCGAGGATAATGGGGCTCGCATGCTGAAGCTGATGAATACCAAGGAGCTGTACGGAGAGGATGAACGTGAAGAGATGATCAACACCCTGGTCAAGGTGACATACAGCCTCAGAAGGCAAAAAGGGGAGGCCTACAAGGCCTTCTTCGCCCGCTGGGACAACGCTGTCCGCCGGCTGAACGAGCATAAGGTGGAACTGCCGCAAGAGTACCTGGGATTCCTTCTTGTGATGGCCTTGCAGGTCACCCCGGAAGAGGTGAAGTTGATGATGAACTACACCCAGGGTAAGCTGACGCAGAAGGCCGTGAAGGAATGGATCCGGGTCCAGGAGGCAGACTTGGCATGGAGTGCCTCGAGCCAACGGCCCAAGAAGGCGGACTCGATCATGATGATTGACGAGGCCTCGGAATATACCGGGGAGATCCCTTCTGAAGCGCCGGAGGATGATGAGAATCTCGAGGTTCTCCTGAACGCCCTCGGCGAGCTTGACGAGAATGACGACGGCAGCTCTACGGCCTACACGGACGTCTTCGACGAGGACGAGGCCAAGGAGGTGCTCGCCACCATGGTCAAGGAGCACTCCAAGGGTGGATTCCGCAGGTCATTCAAGGCAGTGAATGACGCGAAGCGAGCCAAGGGGCTGGCCCGAGGATACGGTGCACAGCGAGATCCCAGTGGACGCTTTGGTGGTGGCAAGGGCTCCGAGAGCGTCAAGACCGGACAATCCTACCGGATTTCGATCGAGGCCTTGAAGAAGAAGACGAGATGTGGAAAGTGCGGGCAAATTGGACACTGGCACAAGGAGTGCCCGAATCCTGCCAAACCCAAGGAGAGCCACTACTTGGAGCAGGAGTCCGAGGAGGCCCTCTTTCTACACTACCTCGACTTCGTCGATTACCAGGCCAATCGGTCACAGACGACGCCGCCCGTCGCCAGAAGCACCGCAGCCTCGTCGAGTGACGTTTTGCATAGGTCAGCGAACCGACCTGGAACCGAGAAGGCCGAGCATGCATACATGTGTTCTGCTCTAGGTCTGCCGCATGAAGTACTTTATGTCAACGACAGTGTGCAGATTGATGAAGACTCATGTGCCACCATAGATACCGGTTGCCAACGGACTGCCATCGGGAAGGAGACTTTAGATAGGATGATCTCGCGATACCCTCACGGTGTACAACCATGCTACAAGCCTGAGGAACATGTCTTCAAGTCGGTCAATGGTTTGTCAAGGACCCAGAGGGTGGCCTGCATGCCGGCAAGCTTAGGTCCCGGAGGATGCATCCTAAGACCCGCCGTCTTTGAAGAAGGTCAGAGCAGTAAGGCACCCTTCCTGATTTCCCTGCCGTTCCTGTTGTTCTGTCGAGCCCAATTAGATCTAGATCCACAACGTGGTCTACGTATGAAGCTGCGCAAATTTGACTATGAGGTACCGTTGCACATCGGGCCCACGGGGGCCCTGCGGGTTCCTCTTGATCAGTTCACCGAGCCGATGCTAAGACAACTACATCAAGCACTCGAGACCCTCCGGGAGCCCAGCCTCGAAGCCAACATGTTGAAAGTGGCAGCCCTAGCCCCGGATGATTCTTCTTATGATGCAAGTATTCGGCCCAACTCTTCGCCTACAAGCCTTAGCTCCCCGCCTGGCCTCCGCGATCCACGCTGCGAAAATGCCGAAGAACCACAAGCGCCCGAAGATCGAGACCGAGGAGGACCGTCAACGCCGGCGCCAATTCCACTGGCGGAGGATGGTACTACGGTTCTTCTGCATCATGGCCAACAGCGTCTACTCGATGGTGGTCAACCACCTGGGGATCAAGGAGGACCGCCGAGACCGGCAAAACCAAATGGTGGAGACACTTCGCGGGATGAACCGCGAGGAGCTCCAGGACGCCCAGGACATGGTCCAAGGAGCTCTCCTGGCGGCGAACTACCAAGAGGAAGACTGGGACGTGGTGGACCAAGTGATCCTCGGCACCCCAAAGAAGCGCCAAGCGGAGGAGACAGAGAACGAGGGGATGTCGACCGACGAGTTCGACAACCCGAAGGTGCTGCTATGCTACTGCAATCTCGAGGCGGTTCTTCTCCGGACCAAGAAGATGGGGCCAAACCTCCATCGGCTGTTCTGGCGGTGCCCGAGGTATGCCGATATCGGGAGCCGATGCGAGTTCTTCCAGTGGGAGGCGGACCAGGCACAGGACATGTGGCGCAATGCCCCGCCGAGGAAGCCTCCGACGACAAGGTCTCCGAGCTCCCCGGCACCATCCAATCTGTCCCTCAACAGCCTTTCGAGGAGCCCAGCGCCGCCCACGATGACGAGCTCAGCTCCAGGATCGGTTCCGAGAACTCCTTTCCTGGACNNGGCCGACAACCCGTGCAGCTGCGAGAATCCCCGGCTAGTGGGCACGGGATCCAATGCTTGGGTGACCCAAGTGAGGTGCACGCTTTGCGGCAAGACGGTGACGAGGAAGCCTACGGCGAAGGCTCATGCCTACTACGCGAAGAAGAACATGGTGCCACCTACGCCGAAGGAGTTGCCGCCGACACCACCAACCTCTTCGGCGGCTACCCCGAAGCCCTCGGTCATGCCCGGGACCCCGCTCTCCACCAACCTCTTCGGAGCGAGGGCGGCAAAGGCAAGCCCAGCGAGCTCCCACGAGTCGGCGAGCAGCTCCCACCTGGGAGCCGGGCCAAAGAAGTCCAGTTCGAGGAGTTCCCGGAAGNNAGCGAAGCCGGCACCCCGGAAGACGGGGTACTTGTGCTGGACGAGACCTACGCCGAGTACCAGGAGTTCAAGCGGTTCATGGAGGCCAAGAAGGCGGTGGAGGCATCCCAGAACCGCCGTCAGTGAGGCTGTCGGTCAGCGGGCAGAGACATCTGATGGCAAGCCTGAAAAAGGCTGAGCAGGTCTGGACAGATCTGCAGAATTGCCTGATGAATGGACAGGCGCATCTTCGAGAGCTAAAAGAACGAGCTGCCAACGACTACCAGAAAGGTTTTAGCAAGCGAAAGCGCCAGGTGTATGCCGAGATCTTTAACCTTAACACGCAAGAGCTTGGCACAGGTCCTCAAGATATGAACCAGAAGGGTAAGTGCAGACAGATCCACCATGACATTGTCTTGTTGATCGACCTAAACTCTGACATATTGAGTCTGTCCGCTCAGCATTCGATCATGACTTATCTGAGGCATGTGCGTCCCGGCTTGGTGATCGTTCGTCAGCCCGAGGCCGCCTGGTTCCAGCAAGGAAGACCCCTAGAACAGTTCAAGCAACAACAACTACAAGACATCAAGGACTATCTCAAGCAGCAACAAGAGCACAGAGCACTTCTACGTTTCTCCAAGAAGGTTCTTGAAGTATGCTCCCAGCTTGGAACCACTTTCGTGTGCGAGGAGCCATGGCTACGTCACAGCTGGCAGGAACAAGAAGTCAAGGACTTACGAGCAGCGGCTGAAACGTGGCACAGCCAGATCTTCGGATGGCGAGACGGACACGATCAAGAACGCGATGGAGGGCGAGACGAACACGATCAAGGACGCGATGGAGGACGAGACGGACACGATCAAGGACGCGATGGAGGGG